AGTTATCCCGGTGAAACTAGCGAAACTAGTTTCAGTGAAGCTAGCGAAGCTAGTTATTCCAGTGAAGCTAGCGAGGTTAGTTTACCGGTGAAGCTAGCGAGCTAGGCTAGTTATCCCACTGAAGTTAGCGAGACTAGTTACCCCAGTGAAGCTAGTAGGCCTATTGAAGCTGGGAATCTTGTGCTACTAGTGCTAGTGAACACAATGAAGCTGCGTCACTACTGTCGTAGAATCCTGCACGTACAGCCACACGCGCGGCACACGCAGACACGAGCACCAGAGAGGTGGGTTATGGCGAGGTGGGTTATGGCGAGGTGGGTTATGGCGAGGTGGGTTATGGCGAGGTGGGTTATGGCGAGGTGGGTTATGGCGAGGTGGGTTATTGCGAGGTGGGTTATTGCGAGGTGGGTTATGGCGAGGTGGGTCATGGCGCCTCGCTTCCGAAGTTCTCCATGAAATCCGACATAGATCCTAATTGGATATTTTTCAAAATTCAAATGATTATTTTTTCCTATTTGTAACTGTCTCTACATTTTAATTCTATAAATTGTATATTGTTTAGAAAATTATATATTGTGTTGACCCCACGATGTTTTTGTGTCTTTTCGCTGTGCTTGTGTTAGTTTCATCGGCCATCACGTGGCCGCCGATGAGACGGCGATAAGCTGCTCGCGTCACGCATGCGTGGCGCCTCAAGGCGACACTTAGCAGCGGAATATTTTTCTGCAGCTGCCAAGGCCTCGCAAACAATTGAAATGCCAGCGGATCTCAGAGCGCCAGTTGCAGGTTGCAAAATATCTCAACGGATCGTGATGTATATTAACGGATCCCGCGCAACTCAAGGCTGGCCGTCTGCAGGCATTGTGCACTAACGTGGACACGTGTACTGCGCACCGTGCACTAACGTGGACACGTGTACTGCGCACCGTGCACTAACGTGGACACGTGTACTGCGCACTGCCGCCGTCATCACCGAACTCAGCCGCTCCAGGACCATGGCGTTACAGGTGCGTTACATGCGGGGACCCAGGTGATCCCAACTACCCCCTCTCCCCAATGCTGGCAATGGCCCCAATTCCCACCCCCACTCTCATTGCCCCCTGGCAATTGCCCCATTCTGGAAATACAGTCGATGCCCCAATTGATATTTCTCTTGATAAATATGATAAATAACCAAAGATGTCCCCTTGATCAGGTCTCTTATAAACCACATTTCATCAGATCCGCAAGTTACCCCCCCGCCACTTGGTCGGATCACTAATCAAGCCTTATTTGGTCAGAGCCCTAAATAACCTCCACTCAGTCAGTCAGGTGCCCAATAACTCCCTCCTCCCTGCAGGTGCTGACGCGGGTGCCCAATAACTCCCTCCTCCCTGCAGGTGCTGACGCGGGTGCCCAATAACTCCCCCCTCCCCGCAGGTGCTGACGCGGGTGTGTGAAGGTGGAGGGGCGGAGGGGCAGCGTGAGGTGCTGGCAGCGATGTCGGCGCTGCGGCTGCGCTGCGCTGAGAGCGTCCGCTTCAAGTTCCTCGTGTCGCTGCTGCTGGGGCGCCCTGTGCCCAGGTGACTCTATGATCCCATTACGGCGGGGTACTAATTAAAAAAAATGAATTAGATGTAAAGTAAAGTAAAGTTCTGCATCAAGTAAAGATGCAGAAATGAAAGCTTTAGAAGAAAATACGATGAAGTGACGGATAATGATATGGAACGGGCGCCACCCGTGCCCAGGTGCCCTTTCAATGCTCCCATTTCGACGCGGTACTAAACAGTACATGGGTATGGGCAGTACGCTGGACCACACAACATCAGTCAGCAATAGTATAAGTCAGTATACAGTATAAATCGGCAGTAGGGGCTCTGAAAAAAGAACGACCGAAGCGTCCATCGCTGCCAGATGTGTGGAAATCGACATTCGATCGAACTTGATATTCATCCTCAACAAAACATTCATTCCCACACGTGGATCACATTTCTCCGCTGCTGTCACGCAGGGATTTCATTTATAAATAATAATACGGTGGATACTCCATAATTGCAGAAAAAAAACACCAATGTGCTTCCTGGATTGTAGCACGGCTCTGGAACAACCATATGCTCTCTGAAGCTCGCCCATAAACGAATTACTGAATGATACACTACCATCATCATCCTCCACTAAACATGTTCACACATACGCAAGTTAGGCGACATACATTCGGAACTTTTCCTGCATTGTCGATTGCGCTTCACGCTGCAACGTAACATCTAATGTAGTGTCAGATGTTGGGAGTCCGCAGGCAGCATCGTGCGGAGTTCTGGCGAAGAGGTCTTCTGAGTTTAGAAGACCCGAGGAAAAACATCACAGCGACGGTCACGTGACTCAGTATAGAATAATTTATAAGACACGATCACAGTACAAGACTGTAAAATATAAACCAAGGGCCGTTCTATCGTTGATTTTCAAGGTTTGTAACTTGTCAACCAATCACTGACGGCTTTTCAAGATAAAACCACCAAAGACGAACGAGAAATTGGACGCTTCGTGTTCACAGGCTACTGCGTGTACTTTGCGAATTTATGTCAAATATATAGAGAATAAGTTTTTTAAACATATATTTGTTTCTATCTATACAAAAACATATTTGTGTAGTTTGTACAAAAACATGTGAACACATGTTTTTTTTTTCAAAGGGCGGCCCCATATGTACAGATGATAACCCTGCCTTCCCTGCCCCAGCGTTGCCGTGTGGACACTGCGCCTGGTGAACGCGGTAGTCGAGGGCGCGTCGGGGCTGCGGCAGCGCATCCACCTTCAGGAGGAGCTCGGCGAGGCGGGTTTCTGCGTCGCCTCCATCATGAAGGTGAGATATAATATTATAACCACAGATAATATGTGTCTCAGATGTACGTTAATGCACCTACAGGGTAGAGGAGGGTTCGTTGACTAATACCGTACGTAAGGGATAAGTATGACACTTCTCTCTAGATAAAATATCTTGATACGGGGTGGTAATACAAGAGTTACGATACAGGTAGAGGCTACGGCGTCGATTTTAAGGTCGGATAACTATAATGACGCGATTTACATCGCGGAGCACTTATCAACTACTGCAGGAGACCTTACTAAAATTCCCAGCCATTTTATAGTATCTCGGCTTCCGTCCACAACTAAGGTCTTGATCGCGTGATCTAGACGCTGACTGAGGACAATCTCAGTCACGTATCGTGAATATTACGTCTCAATTACTTATGATGGAATCATGCAACATAGTTTTAATGAATAAAATGAGACGCCAGATTGACACCCGACATATATAAGTGAATAGTTTGTATTAGAGTTCCTCAAACATACATGCTTCCTCTTCCTCCTCCATTCCACACTACGGGATCTTCAGCGTACACGGAGCAACTTTCAGCGATGAAACTAAGAAAGTACCCAACAGCGAAGTACAACAGAAAGTACCCAACAGAAAATTCTTGCGAATTTTCTTCTCTGTTACATCCTTGCTTTCTTGCCACCATTCTTGCCTTCCTTGCTTTCTACTTTGCCGTCACCCTTGCCTTCCTTGCTTTCTTCTTGCCACCACCCTTGCCTTCCTTGCTTTCTTCTTGCCGTCACCCTTGCCTTCCTTGCTTTCTTCTTGTCATCACCCTTGCTTTCCTTGCCTTCCTTGCCATCATCCTTGCCTTCCTTGCTATCTTCTTGCCATCACCCTTGCATGCCTTCCTTGCTTTCTTCTTGCCATCATCCTTGCCTTCCTTGCTTTCTTCTTGCCATCACCCTTGCCTTCCTTGCTTTCTTCTTGCCATCACCCTTGCCTTCCTTGCTTTCTTCTTGCCATCACCCTTGCCTTCCTTGCTTTCTTCTTGCCATCACCCTTGCCTTCCTTGCTTTCTTCTTGCCATCACCCTTGCCTTCCTTGCTTTCTTCTTGCCATCACCCTTGCCTTCCTTGCTTTCTTCTTGCCATCACCCTTGCCTTCCTTGCTTTCTTCTTGCCATCACCCTTGCCTTCCTTGCTTTCTTCTTGCCATCACCCTTGCCTTCCTTGCTTTCTTCTTGCCATCACCCTTGCCTTCCTTGCTTTCTTCTTGCCATCACCCTTGCCTTCCTTGCTTTCTTCTTGCCATCACCCTTGCCTTCCTTGCTTTCTTCTTGCCATCACCCTTGCCTTCCTTGCTTTCTTCTTGCCATCACCCTTGCCTTCCTTGCTTTCTTCTTGCCATCACCCTTGCCTTCCTTGCTTTCTTCTTGCCATCACCCTTGCCTTCCTTGCTTTCTTCTTGCCATCACCCTTGCCTTCCTTGCTTTCTTCTTGCCATCACCCTTGCCTTCCTTGCTTTCTTCTTGCCATCACCCTTGCCTTCCTTGCTTTCTTCTTGCCATCACCCTTGCCTTCCTTGCTTTCTTCTTGCCATCACCCTTGCCTTCCTTGCTTTCTTCTTGCCATCACCCTTGCCTTCCTTGCTTTCTTCTTGCCATCACCCTTGCCTTCCTTGCTTTCTTCTTGCCATCACCCTTGCCTTCCTTGCTTTCTTCTTGCCATCACCCTTGCCTTCCTTGCTTTCTTCTTGCCATCACCCTTGCCTTCCTTGCTTTCTTCTTGCCATCACCCTTGCCTTCCTTGCTTTCTTCTTGCCATCACCCTTGCCTTCCTTGCTTTCTTCTTGCCATCACCCTTGCCTTCCTTGCTTTCTTCTTGCCATCACCCTTGCCTTCCTTGCTTTCTTCTTGCCATCACCCTTGCCTTCCTTGCTTTCTTCTTGCCATCACCCTTGCCTTCCTTGCTTTCTTCTTGCCATCACCCTTGCCTTCCTTGCTTTCTTCTTGCCATCACCCTTGCCTTCCTTGCTTTCTTCTTGCCATCACCCTTGCCTTCCTTGCTTTCTTCTTGCCATCACCCTTGCCTTCCTTGCTTTCTTCTTGCCATCACCCTTGCCTTCCTTGTCGCCCCGCATTTATTTATTGATGTTTATTATGTATATGATGGAGATGACTATTGTATTGCCGTCCGACGTGCAGCGTGGACGACGGAGGGACGATGCGCAGCTCGGACGACGAGGCCGCCGTCCACCCCGAAGACGTGACGTCCCCCGCCCCCCACACCCGTCCCCCCGCCCACGATCCTGAGCACTACATCGCCGCCCTCGCCCACTACGCCGCTCCTGCCGCCCACCCGCCGCCCACTCTGCCCGTTCACAAGGTGAGTCGTGTGCCGCCCACCCATCAGGTCAGGCGGGTGTGCCGCCCACCCATCAGGTGGGGCGGGTGTGCCGCCCACCCGCTGGCTGTTTTCCCGCTAGTTTCTTCCCCCGACTTTCACCCGCGGGAGACGAAAGCGTGAAAGCCTCGCGGCCGTTGTTGTCCCAGCGGCGATGATACGGTGACCGTATACGTACGGATGAAATAATACGGTCACCGAGGCCACATTCAATACGGTTATAGGAACATTCCTTTGCAAAAAGTGTATATGATCTAAAAAAACTTATGTATTTGATTGGAAGCATTTATGTTATTAAGTAAAAAATTATTTGCGTGTATTAGTAAAAGTTCATCTACGAACCATATATATTGTTATTTAATTCAGGCTACAATATCCATTGAAATAGTTTCTCAAATTACACTTAATGATCCTAAATTACACTAAATAATTAATATAGTAAATATTTACTATAATACCTATATATCTGTAATACTATATAATAACAATAATTTGAGAGATTAATATTTTATTAATATATATAATATAATAATATTAATTAATTAATATTATTATATATTTATTAATATATAATAATACATTATATATTATATATAACATATTATATATATTATATAATTAATTATTTAATATCTTGTATATTATATAATTCCATAATTCCCCTCAGCCTCAGGTGGGGGAGAAGGGGGGCGGCGCCCCCGAGATGTGCACCCGTCAGTTCTGCTCGCTGGGGGAACTCTTGAAGAACCTGCAGCAGGACCTGGCATCTGCCTACATAAGGTGATGAGAACCACGGGTGTGATGAGAACCAAGGGTGTGATGAGAACCACGGGTGATGAGAACCACGGGTGATGAGAACCACGGGTGATGAGAACCACGGGTGATGAGAACCACGGGTGATGAGAACCACGGGTGATGAGAACCACGGGTGTGATGAGAACCACGGGTGTGATGAGAACCACGGGTGATGAGAACCACGGGTGATGAGAACCCTATAGGTGCTGCTGTTGCAATTCATGATAAACTAACTGAGAACCTTCAAGTGTCTGTTAATATAATTAAGTTAATATTTAATTAATATAATAAGTTAAAATAATTAACGTATTGGCATAGGAAAGATAAGTAATTTTCATACTTACTGATAATAGTAGAAATATGTCAGCCAAACGTGGCTGACATAAGCTGACTGTGCGCATGGCTGACTAAGCTGACTGTGCGCATGGCTGACTAAGCTGACTGTGCGCATGGGTGTCAGCTTCGTGCAGGAGCTGGTGGCGCAGGGGGGCGCATGGCTGCTGCTGGACCTGCTGAGGGGGGCGCAGCGGGGGCAGGGAGCCCTCAGGGGTGAGTCCTGCTATTTCTTCTTTAGCAGTCACTCGTCGTTGTATTTCTCCTTATTTTTACCTATTTTATTTTTATTTATATTTACAGTTTATTTGCTATGTCCCTCGTCGTTTTATTTCTTCTTATTTTTACATATTTTCTTTTTGTTTATATTTACAGTTTATTTACAAGAAGTTTTCATGGCCGAAATTTTTCTCTTGTCGTGCCATTACACCACACCGCACCGCACCGTATAATACCACAGCACCATAACGCTACACTCTAACACCAGTGCCACTGCATAACACCACAACATTACACCACAGCACCATAACGCCACTCCATAACACCACAACTTCAACACCACACTACCACACCACATCACGCCACAGCACCATCCTAGCAGCGATGTTTGTGCTGCTGCAGAGAGCGCGTGCAGCAGGCAGCAGCAGCAGGCTCTGCAGAAGGCGCTGCAGGAGGAGCTGTGCGTGCTGCGCTGCCTGCGTTACTGCCTGCGTTATGACGTGACGCCGACGCTGCTGGCGCGTTACCAGCACGGNCTGCTGGACCTGCTGAGGGGGGCGCAGCGGGGGCAGGGAGCCCTCAGGGGTGAGTCCTGCTATTTCTTCTTTAGCAGTCACTCGTCGTTGTATTTCTCCTTATTTTTACCTATTTTCTTCTTATTTATATTTACAGTTTATTACAAGAAGTTTAGATGGCCGTAATTTCTCTCTTGTCCTGCCATTTCGGTATTAGTAACCAAATGAGTTCAGTGAAGAGGTAATGATTAGTTGAGAGCATTATTGTTTCATCGTGCATATTGATGAAATAGACACCATAACAGCAACACCATTACAAAAACTACACTAGCAAAATATATCATCACACCACTGCACTATAACCACAGCACCATAACGCCACACCATAATACCAGTACCATTACCTCACACCATAACACCAGCACCACACCACAACACCATAACGCCACACCATAACACTAGTACCAGCACCACACCACAACACCATAACGTCATACCGCCACAGCACCATAACGACACACCACACCACAATACACTACCACACCATAACATCATACCACACCGCACCGCACCGTATAATACCACAGCACCATAACGCTACACTCTAACACCAGTGCCACTGCATAACACCACAACATTACACCACAGCACACCATAACGACACACCACACCACAATACACTACCACACCATAACATCATACCACACCGCACCGCACCGTATAATACCACAGCACCATAACGCTACACTCTAACACCAGTGCCACTGCATAACACCACAACATTACACCACAGCACCATAACACCACTCCATAACACCACAACTTCAACACCACACTACCACACCACATCACGCCACAGCACCATCCTAGCAGCGATGTTTGTGCTGCTGCAGAGAGCGCGTGCAGCAGGCAGCAGCAGCAGGCTCTGCAGAAGGCGCTGCAGGAGGAGCTGTGCGTGCTGCGCTGCCTGCGTTACTGCCTGCGTTATGACGTGACGCCGACGCTGCTGGCGCGTTACCAGCACGGCCTCTACTGCGTCACCGCCGCCGTCATCACCGAACTCAGCCGCTCCAGGACCATGGCGTTACAGGTGCGTTACATGCGGGGACCCAGGTGATCCCAACTACCCCCTCTCCCAATGCTGGCAATGGCCCCAACTCCCCCTCCCCCAATGCTGGCAATGGCCCCAACTCCCCCCTCCCTTAATGCTGGCAATGGCCCCAATTCCCACCCCCACTGTCATTGCCCCCTGGCAATTGCCCCAGTCTTGAAATACTGTCGTTGCCCCAATTGATCTTTCTCTTGATAAATAACCATAGATGTCCCCTTGATCAGGTCTCTTATAAATTACTTTTCATCAGATCCGCAAGTTACCCCCCGCCACTTGGTCGGATCACTAATCAAGCCTTATTTGGTCAGAGCCCTTAATAACTTCCACTCAGTCAGTCAGGTGCCCAATAACTCCCCCCTCCCTGCAGGTGCTGACGCGGGTGCCCAATAACTCCCTCCTCCCTGCAGGTGCTGACGCGGGTGCTCAATAGCTCCCTGCCCTCCCTGCAGGTGCTGACGCGGGTGCCCAATAGCTCCCTCCTCCCTGCAGGTGCTGACGCGGGTGCTCAATAGCTCCCTGCCCTCCCTGCAGGTGCTGACGCGGGTGCTCAATAGCTCCCTGCCCTCCCTGCAGGTGCTGACGCGGGTGCCCAATAGCTCCCTCCTCCCTGCAGGTGCTGACGCGGGTGCTCAATAGCTCCCTGCCCTCCCTGCAGGTGCTGACGCGGGTGCTCAATAGCTCCCTGCCCTCCCTGCAGGTGCTGACGCGGGTGCCCAATAGCTCCCTCCCCTCCCTGCAGGTGCTGACGCGGGTGCCCAATAGCTCCCTCTCCCTGCAGGTGCTGACGCGGCTGCCCAATAACTCCCCCCTCCCTGCAGGTGCTGACGCGGGTGCCCAATAAATCCCTCCTCCCTGCAGGTGCTGACGCGGGTGCCCAATAACTCCCTCTCCCTGCAGGTGCTGACGCGGGTGTGTGAAGGTGGAGGGGCGGAGGGGCAGCGGGAGGTGCTGGCGGCGATGTCGGCGCTGCGGCTGCGCTGCGCTGAGAGCGTCCGCTTCAAGTTCCTCGTGTCGCTGCTGCTGGGGCGCCCTGTGCCCAGGTGACTCTATGATCCCATTACGGCGGGGTACTAATTAAAAAAAATGAATTAGATGTAAAGTAAAGTAAAGTTCTGCATCAAGTAAAGATGCAGAAATGAAAGCTTTAGAAGAAAATACGATGAAGTGACGGATAATGATATGGAACGGGCGCCACCCGTGCCCAGGTGCCCTTTCAATGCTCCCATTTCGACGCGGTACTAAACAGTACATGGGTATGGGCAGTACGCTGGACCACACAACATCAGTCAGCAATAGTATAAGTCAGTATACAGTATAAATCGGCAGTATGGACGCTGAAAAAAACGTCCGAAGCGTCCATCGCTTCCAGATGTGTGATAATCGACATTCGATCGCACTTGATATTCATCCTCGAGAAGACATTCACTCCCACACGAGAATCACATTTCTCCGCTGCTGTCTCGCAGGGATTTCAGTCACTCGGTGGAAATAATACGGTGGAAACTCCATAATTGAAGAAAAAACCACCGATGTGCTTCCTGGATTGAAGCATGGCTCTGGAACAACCATATGATCTCAGAAGCTCGCCCATTAACGAATTTCTGAATGATACACTACCATCATCATCCTCCATTAAACATGTACACACATACGCAAGTTAGGCGACGTACATTCGGAACTTTTCCTGCATTGTCGATTGCGCTTCACGCTGCAACGTAACATCTAATGTAGTGTCAGATGTTGGGAGTCCGCAGGCAGCATCGTGCGGAGGTCTGGCGAAGAGGTCTTCTGAGTTTAGAAGACCCGAGGAAAAACATTACAGCGTCATGTAACTCAGTATAGAATAATTTCTAAGTCGCGGTCCACAGTACAAGACTGTAAAATATAAACTAAGGGGCGTTCTATCGTTGATTTTCAAGGTTTTTAACTTATCAACCAATCATTGACGGCTTTTCAAGGTAAACCCACCAAAGACGAACGAGAAATCGGACGCTACGTGCTCACAGGCTACTGCGTGTACTTTGCGAATTAATGTCAAATATATACAGATTATGTTTTATAAACATATATACGTTTCTATCTATACAAAAACGTTTCTATCTATAGATACGTTTCTATCTATATCTGTGTAGTTTGTACAAAAAAACATATGAACACACATGCTTTTTTCAAAGGGCGGCCCCATATGTACAGATGATAACACTGCCTTCCCTGCCCCAGCGTTGCCGTGTGGACACTGCGCCTGGTGAACGCGGTAGTCGAGGGCGCGTCGGGGCTGCGGCAGCGCATCCACCTTCATACTGTGCACTAACGTGGACACGTATACTGTGCACTAACGTGGACACGTATACTGTGCACTAACGTGGACACGTGTACTGTGCACTAACGTGGACACGTGCACTGCGCACTAACGTGGACACGTGCACTGTTCACTAACGTGGACACGTGTACTGCGCACTTTGCACTAACGTGGACACGTGTACTGCACACCGTGCACTAACGTGGACACGTGTACTGTGCACCGTGCACCAACGTGGACACGTGTACTGCGCACCGTGCACTAACGAGGGTAAGTGCAGACATTTTAATAATTTAATTGTAGCTTGCATTTAATTTTAATTTAATTATACTTAACCCTCTATCGCGGTATGTCACTCTCAGGGAACATAACCTTCAACTTGAATTATACGTAAACTATTGATTGTAACAACCTGATGATGTTTGTACGCAACAGAGAACATTTTAAAGTTGTCGTACGTGGCGGCAACCATCAGTGCAAGTCATTTTGCGCTCACTAGAACGAACGTATCCTAGAACGTATCACTAGAACGTATCATTTTTAGCGCATTTTCTCATTTATGCAGAAAATGCACTATTGTGCTCGCCATGTCCGTCCGTCCGTGACTTCATGTTTTCGTCGGCGAGCAAATGCGCTCTCTGTCACTGAGTTATATTTTTTGGGAAGTAGGCGCGTGACAACATTGCTCTAGTTACTAATATTATTAATATTATTATATTATATTAGTGATAATAATATACTAGTAATATTGTTCCAGTTACTGGTATTATTATTATTAATTATTATATTATATTATATTAGTGATATAGATGTGTATAAGAGACAGCCACAACACCACACCACAANCACAACCCAGTTAATCTCTTACCCAGGACCAAGTTCCGTAGCAAAAAGAGGGAGAATTCATCCCGGTTAAACCATGACGAGGAAAGACTCATTTCCAAGTTTGATAAGAACAATAACAGCAAAAACAAAGCTTCCAATTTCCAGAAATTGAGCAAAGCGAAGATCCTCCAAAAGCGATTCAGCAACTCCGAGCTTATCGCCTTCAATGGATTCATCCTGTCTCTTATACACATCTAGATGTGTATAAGAGACAACCCCTCTTCCCCTGCAGGCTGTAGAGCGCGCGGGTGTCGAGGGCGCCGCGTTCAGCGCCATCGAAGCGCAGCTCGCGCGCTGGCAGCAGAACTACGTCGACGTCTCCGCCCTGGGTTTGCAGCTCGATGGTCTGCAGACCGCCAACCAGGGCCTCCTTCAGGAGCTGGCCAACCTCAGGGAGGCCAACATGGTGGGTGGTGGGCCAACATGGTGGGTGGTGGGCCAACATGGTGGGTGGTTGGCCAACATGGTGGGTGGTGGGCCAACATGGTGGGTGGTTGGCCAACATGGTGGGTGGTGCGCCAACATTGTGGGTGGTGGGCCAACATGGTGGATGCCTATACTGGCCAGAGGCATAGCGAGGCGAGGTATAATTAAGATGGCAAGAGCGGTTGGCACTCTTGTATGAGGGATGAAATTTCGTGTTTGAGGGATTTTAACGTGTATAGAGCGGAACAAAACAATTAGTTTGGTTGACATCGATTGGAAAAAATTAATATCGATTTTTAATATCTATTGGATATGAACCGAATAAAAAATAATATGAAGTAATTTTCAAGGCATCTAATCGAAAATATTTGACTGGATTTAAGAACGGTTTACTGTGTCTAATTTATTAATTTATCCAAAATATAGGCAATCAGGATTCAAAATGAAAATTTGTTTCGTAGTTTATTATATCCAAGTTTTATTCTTGTTGATTCTCTCTTATCTATTTTATCACGTCTCTCTCTCTCACAGAAACTACTGGAAGAAAACGTGTTGCTGAAGACTGTAGGTGGGGAGGTTCAGGAACAATACATGGCTCTGCAGCGCCGTCTCCAGATGAACGGTCTCCCTACTGCCCCTTCACCCACGCCCTCTGTGTCAGACTCAGACATCTCCTCCATAGGGCCTGTCAGACGAGGAACCGTTCTCAGGAGGCCTTCTAAGTCCTTCACCAGGAGCTGCAGTGCGGACACAGTAATTGTGGACAAGGGCGCCAAAGACGCAGTCCAGCGATCCGCAACCCCAGACGTGCTGCCGAGGAAATCTAACGGACACGTTAACAGTGACACATTTACGTACACGAGTGGAGCGAAATGTGTTAAGGATCTTCCTCCGGAACCCTTACCTCGGTCCACTTCTCTAATGCCACGAGCCAACTCTTCCAAAGAGAATATGAGGATCAATGATGTTGAATCGCCGACTGTTATGGCTCCCTGCTATGTCAACCCAATAGACATGGCGCTCTTGGGAAGAGATGCTAACGAAACATTGGACCGCTATTCGCCTCCGGACATGGCGCTGACCTCGAATTATGCGAATATAAATAATATTAGAAACGAAGTCGCCAAAATTGGATCAAATGAAGCCGGACTTCAATCGTCGAACACTAAAGAAAACAAGTACCCAACCACTACAAAGAGGAGAGCGCCGCTAATTCCTGACTCCATCCATCGCGACGGCTCTTTGTGTTCGTCCACTTCTTCTCTATCTTCCTCGTCCTCTTGTTCTGCCGCCTCCATCAAAGGAGGTGCACAGAGGAACAGCCCGCAACAGATTTACAAGCCGGATTTAGGACCCCAGTATGAAAACAAAGCAGAGATCGAAGAAGGCCATAACGCTGTAGCAGATCCTGAGTACCAGAACGTTTTGAAGCTCAAAAATATCGAGTCAAACGCACTCACAAGCCTCGATGAGAAGGACTATGAGCGGGACATGGTCGTGTACGAGGCCATCACCATGGGCAACGACATGATCGAGCTCGTGAGTCGAGGATCGTCGAGCGAGGCGTCGAGTCAGGCGAGCAGCACCAACAGGAACATCAGGAAAGTGAACTCGAGTGTCCAGAGGCACAGGAAAAACTCCAATGAAACTTCCATGGCTGGTTCTGGGAGGTGGGGAAGTGCTGATAGTCCTAACGAACAGACGACCGTTCGTGACTCCGTTAAGCATTATGAGAACTTGTTAACTGGAGACTCGGCAAAAAATTTTTATGAAGGTGACGCGTCGGGCAAAGGCACTAAGTCTGCCAAAAATATAAGTGACGATAAAAATGCTTATGGCAAGAGTAGAGGCAGTTCACCAATTTCGGACTCACAGGGCACCGTGAAGGACATTCCCATTAGCGGAATAAGGGAAGGCAGAGTTAGTCCTGAAGGCCAAAATTTAGATGAAGTCAAAATAATCCCAAGTCGCGGACCTCAACTGCCGGCCAAGAAGCGGAACCTCAACGTGGCTTCTTCGTGTGAACCTATTATGATATTTGACTTCGACTCGCCGACAGAAACAAGTGACTCTGAGTCATTCAATCGCAACGATCGATGCCCAAGTCCTCGCACGATCGAGACTGAGTCCACTCGTTCGTTCGGATTCATCCAGCCCGACAAGATGCTACGACGCAGAGACACCTTCATGGATCACACAGATTCCTCTAAGGCATCAAAAGGCAAACGGCGCGGCTTGAGACGAAGCGAGAGTTTCCAAGCCGGCGACAGCGAGCAAGGCAGCGTCATGGGTTACGCCATGAGACGGGGCGGGTCCACAGATCTTCTTATCGAAGCTGATGACCAAGGCCAGGAAGTGCTTATCAACGGACGGACGTTCACCAAATATACCCCGCAAGACGTTCTCCTCAACAACGAAGTCAACGAGCTGTTGACGGCAGCGCTGAAGAGACGTCAGTGTCGCAGCGTCGAAGACAGGCTAGACCAGTGGCTTGAAGAAGACCTTAGAAGACACAACCCAGTTAATCTCTTACCCAGGACCAAGTTCCGTAGCAAAAAGAGGGAGAATTCATCCCGGTTAAACCATGACGAGGAAAGACTCATTTCCAAGTTTGATAAGAACAATAACAGCAAAAGCAAAGCTTCCAATTTCCAGAAATTGAGCAAAGCAAAGATCCTCCAAAAGCGATTCAGCAACTCCGAGCTCATTGCCTTCAATGGATTCATCAACCCCGGCTCCGGTTTTGTCGAAACTGAATACGGATCAAATTTTGTCCTAAACAAAGCCCCAAATAAACGTAAAACCGAATTTCTCGGCGACACTGCCGAATTTGGCGTCCATGATTTTCCCCCGACGTCCGCCCACGATTTCTCATCGCCCCTCGTCCAGCCCTGGGGCAACGATGGCCGCTGGAACGCTCTGGATATTGACCCCGACATCCCCACACCAGATTACGGCGTCACCCCCGCTGGGACATTGAACGCTACTTCCCCTCTTGCTCGGCACATCCTCGACATCCCATCAGGCCTCTACTGAGGTGCCATTAAAACAATTGATTGTCATCCGAAAATTACTGAAATGGACTACATATGTTTCCCCATCTTGTGCCACTGAAACTTGAACTTAAGAGCAGACAAAACACCGATTCCATTAACCATATTTTCAATGAAAACGTTTCGGAGATCAGCTCCATCATCAGTTCAAAATAAAAATAAATTTTTTGAACTGATAATTATAATCATTAATGCAGCTGGATCTCACTCTAATCATTTATGGTCCGATAATCCGTGCAGCATTTCCTTTGTCAAGAAAATTCAGAGTAAAGATTTTAAAATATTTTTAAGAAGTTAAAATGAACCCCTCAGCTGATTGCTCAAGTTGTTTTCGTACGCATAATTGCACTGAAAGTTTGAANGCTGATTGCTCAAGTTTTTTTCGTACGCATAATTGCACTGAAAGTTAGAAAACTTTGGTATACTTAGAGTTATATTGAGGCGACATGGACGTTGCTTTGAATACATTTTGATAAATGAAACGTTGTTAGCCGGTTTGTTTCTGTTGATTTATTCATAGTTATATTTTATTCAATAATTTTCATTTAATGAAAATCTTTGCACTTCTATTATATTATTAATTTTTCAGAAACTAATTTCATTAACTACATCATTTATCACCTTCGTAGAGAATTGTACATAGACCAATTTTCAAGTGGGACTAAAATTTTTTTGTATACTATGACCTTTGTTATTTACGTTCTGTCGGTCACTTTACTTTAGCCTGGGAATGAGTTCCTTCATGCTGGGAATGAGTTCCTCCATGCTGGGAATGAGTTCCTTCATGCTGGGAATGAGTTCCTACATGCTGGGAATGAGTTCCTCCATGCTGGGAATGAGTTCCTCCATGCTGGGAATGAGTTCCTCCATGCTGGGAATGAGTTCATATTATATTGTTAAATTATCATAGCCCTTAATGGGAAGAAAATAAGAGAAGCTAAGCTGAACACACATTTTCTCTTCTTTAAGGTACATGGAAAATAAACAATTTTTGATATCCTCTAAAGATTCGCCAACGAATTTATAAATGATATAGGTACAATATATATGAAATATGAACAATATAAATGAAATAGGTACAATGAAATAAGATACAAAATGCCGTGAAAATGTGACGGAATGAGTGGTAATCGAAGCAGCTATCAAAAAAAATATACGAAATAAGCAAGATATTATTCGTTCACTGCTGATGAATCAGTATAGTAAGTAATTATATGACTTAAAACGTTCATGTATGGCTGCCATTTGTGCCAGACTGGGATGAAAAGTTTATAATTTAAACCTACCTTGGCATTAATAATGAAATTCTTAGTTCATACAGCAGGAGTCTAACTTGTTATCTCTCAACAAGAGAACAGAATGCGCACAAAGTTTCTTCCGATTCGACTTAGTAAAGAGCTCCAAGATTAGAGCAGTGAGTTGCGGGTTCGAGACCCAGCTACCTGTGAACATCTTGCTATCCATGCTGGGAATGAGTTCCTCCATGCTGGGAATGAGTTCTATCATATTTTGAATGTGTTCCTTGGTGCTGGGACCAAAAAATGTCCCCAACATCCTTGCGTCACGAGCAGTTTTGTCGTAAAACAGATCATATATTTTGTAAAAAAAAAAATTTCAAAAATAATCATAACTTGCGCGATTAAGAAGTAAGTTCGCCGGTCGTGAATGACATCCTTAATAAATTGAATGTAATCAATAGTTTTAATGGCGAGGGAGAAGCGCTTGCCTGTTTTAAAATTACTCAAAATGGCCAAAAACATTAACGAAGAATTGATGAATTTGTTGGCATTGGTTTGTGCAGTTTGTGGTTATGTAATTACAATCGCGTGCACTGTTCTAGAAATTTTCTTTACGCTAGAAGATTATATAATATTTTCTAATCAATGCTGTGATGTGTTGACAATTTTTATGCAATATCAAGAATATATTGTTGATGTTCTGATCTATTAACATGGAATTTCGTTTTCAAATGAGATCTTCTCAATTACCTTTCAAGTATGGGAGACTATTGAATGACTCTAAATTAAATAGTAGTGAAGGTTAATGAAATAAATTAGATATTTAATTACTTACATTCAACGGCAATTCATCATTACATTCCATGGCAATTCATCACTTGCTGATGAATCAGTGCAGTAATGTAATTATTTGACTTAGAAAGTTCATGTACGGCTGCCATTTGTGCCAGGTTGGGATGAAAAGCTTATAATTTAGACCTACCTTGGCATTAATAATGAAATTCTTAGTTCATGGAGCAGGAGTCAAACTTGTTATCTCTCAACAAGCTCAGAATGCGCACAAAGTTTCTTCCGATTAGGCTTAGTAAAGAGCTCCAAAATTAGAGCAGTGAGTTGTGGGTTCGAGACCCAGCTACCTGTGAACATCTTGCTGGAATCATAAGCAGATCAGAATGACCTAATATTTAATGCTGACCTCTACTTTTATTATATTGTTAAATTATCATAGCCCTTAATGGTAAGAAAATAAGAGAGGCTAAGCTAAACACACATTTTTTCTTCTTTAAGGTACATGGGAAATAAACAATTTTTGATATCCTCGAAAGATTCGCTAACGAATTTATAAATGAAATAAGTACAATATATATGAAATATGAACAATATAAATGAAATAGGTACAATGAAATAGGCTACAAAATGCCGTGAAAATGTGACGGAATGAGCGGTAATCAAAAAAAAATATACGAAATAAGCACGATATTATTCGTTCATTTCTAAACGCTAAGCACGCAAACATAAGTTCATCCATCACAATAAACAAGACTTTTCTGTAATATAATTGAAATATATCGCTGAACAATCGTTACACAACAGAGCTAAGTTTTATGGCAGGCGAGTAAAATGAGATGTCACGGAGTTACTCATCAGCATTTCCATCATCAGTTGAATTTTTCCTTGCCGAGAGGGGATACTGAAAAAAGAAAAAATTTTTATGCTTCTCAATGTTTTAAGATTAGCTCCTTAGAGGATTTTTCGGTTCAAGACATTTTTGAGTTCAGAATTTTTTTGGTTCAGAAGATTTTTAGTTAGGGAGACTAATTGTCTTTTTGGTTGTAAACTCGACATGACTGAGCGTTTTTCTACGCTTCCGTCAACACTATCATTGTATCTCGGTAAACCTATGCAGATTACATTATTAATTAAAACTAGAATTAGTAATACAGGAAATATAATTTGAGAAAAGAGAAGAGTTGACTAAGTGCTTCTCCTGTTCTAACTTAACACTAGACAAGTTAATAATTTGAACTAAATGAGGCAGTTACGCAGCCACTGCAAATTACGACAATTCACTCAGAAAAATAAATAATTCATATTGTCTAAATAGTGACACTNAGGGACGACGCAGGCTAGTGAGGGACGACGCAGGCTAGTGAGGGACGACGCAGGCTAGTGAGGGACGACGCAGGCTAGTGAGGGGCGGCGCAGGCTAGTGAGGGCAGTGCAGGCTAGTGAGGGGCGGTGCAGGCTAGTGAGGGGCGGCGCAGGCTAGTGAGGGGCGGCGCAGGCTAGTGAGGGACGGCGCAGGCTAGTGGGGGGCGGCGCAGGCTAGTGAGGGGCGGCGTGGGCGGTAAGTGGACGGCCGGCGAGGGCGGTGGCGGCGAGCGTGCCCTCGTACAGCAGCCCCACGTCCAGCTCAGATAACTTCGCTGCTCACGACAAACATGGAGCCCATTAATTTAATTCTCTCATGTAATTTATCGGTGTATCGTCTCAGGTTCAGGCTCATTGCCTATTACAATCATATTTATTATTATTATCATTATACAATATAGTGTCATATTTATTATTATCATCATTATACATTATAGTGTTGAGAATAACGACTGTGATGTTAATAGTTATTTATGTCGAGAGTGCCTGTCATTATAATGGACAGAGAGTGATGTAGCGTTGTGAAACACCATTACAATAACAACAATTGCAATGCAAACAATAACAATGGAAACTATATCAATGGCAACAATAACTAAGACAATAATAACAATAGTAACAATAACAAAGAATATAGTAACAATGGCCAAAAACGCAAATAATATAATAACAATGGAAACAATAACAAAGACAATAATACCAACGGCAACAATAGCAAAAAATATAATAACAATGAAACAATAACCAAGAATATAATGTAAATGGCAATCTTTAATAACCAAGACAATAATAATGGCCACAAGACAATAATAACAATAATAACAATGGCAACAATAACCAAGACAATANTTGAGTGTAGCAACCTGAGGACGTTTGTACGCAACAGAGAACATTTTAAAGTAACTTTCAACTTAAATTATACGTAAACTATTGAGTGTAGCAACCTGAGGACGTTTGTACGCAACAGAGAACATTTTAAAGTAACTTTCATCTTAAATTATACGTAAACTATTGAGTGTAGCAACCTGAGGACGTTTGTACGCAACAGAGAACATCTTAAAGTAACTTTCATCTTAAATTATACGTAAACTTATGAGTGTAGCAACCTGAGGACGTTTGTACGCAACAGAGAACATCTTAAAGTTGTCGTACGCGGCGGCAACCATCAGTGCAAGTCATTTTGCGCTCACCAGCAACGTATCCTTTTTGGGAAGTAGGCGCGTGACAATATTGCTCTGGTTACTAATATTATTAATATTAATTGCATTATTATATTATATTAGTGATATTAATATACTAGTAATATTGCTCCAGTTACTAGTATTACTAATATTAATTATACCATTATATTATATTAGTGATATTAATATACTAGTAATATTGCTCCAGTTACTCATGTGAGGTAGTAGAAGCTTTTAATTTGATTGAATGAAAGTAAATTTGATCTAATTAAAGAATTAGTAAAGCGTGATTGAATTAAACTCCATTGATTGCAATCGTCCATACATCCTCAGGTCATCACGATAATGATTATCGAACATAAATGATTTGTACAGTTTCATCAATATCATTAATCTTCAGGCAGTGATAAATCATGTTATTTTATTGAATACTACTACTTCTGCATTAATTTAATAATTTAATACGATATTTAACGATTTAATATTTTAATTATTGACCAACGAAATATTATTTTATTTTAATTTTTTTATTAAAAATGTATAAATTTTATTTTTTAATCATTTTTTTTAATTTATTAACTA